GGTAGGATAAGGGATAGAGGGGCTGCTCTTAGGCTTTGGGGAAAACTAGAGGATGGGCTATGGGACTCTTCCTAGGGTAGGAAAGATAAGAACTCGAAGGCCTTAGGGAGAATAGCTAAGATAATTAGAACCGCTCTCTTCGACTCTCATATCATAACATGCCTACTACTCAGGGCGATCTAGATTCGAATTTTAGTTCTCACTTGGGTGCTCCTACTGTTCCCTCTTGATTCCTATGATACAAGACACCTTTTTAGTTGAAACATAGTTTGTATGCCTAGGACAAGAGGCAAGATTAACTAGTGAGGTAAGGATTACTTTAACTCATAGAGGTGACACTAAAGCATAGCAGTATCGGTTTAAAACTACTCAGGACACAACATTGAGGGTTATATGGGGTTTGACAAATGGATTGCTCGTGTAAGTCAACCATCGCTCCGATACCCGTCCGCTATAGCGCGCCGCCAATCCGCACATGACACTTTAGAATCTTTGTAATTGTAGAGTGACATGGAACACCCCATGTGGCAAACCAACACACATAACATCAAAAATCATGCCCAACTATCCAGGTTATTAAGCTTACAAGAAAATACATGATTCACAGAGTTTATATAGTTTTAGTTTCTCCCTCTAGGCTCAATGCTTTGAATATCTCGCTCGAATTCTTATCGGAGTTAACTCATAGGTCATCTTGGATTCACCCAATCCAAGGTCTACTATGTAGCAGTGAATATAGTGCTACCTTGCATCCACCGAGGCAACAACACCTGTAAAACAACTTAACGGTAGCACCGTGAGTACATTTCATACTCATAGGGCTTAATTCCAACACATAGATATTTGGTGGATGCAAAGGATAATATCAGGCATTTGTGCATTTGCAGAAAATCAATGAAGTAGGTTAACAATTGACATGCCATGATTCATTTTTAAGAAGATAGCATTAGAAGTTGATGATAACAAGAAGTGATCAACTTATGTAAACCATACCATCATCAAAGTTCCATCATTACTTCTACCATGGGTATAGAAAGTAAGAACAACCATAAAGGGTCCGTCCCGAGGGACTTTAGGCTTTCAAAACTATGTAGAGGTGTACAACTTGTATCCACACGAAAATACGGGACTAACCACCATATTTCAGATCCTAGAATATTGGTTGTCTCACGATTTCAAACCTTCCCTAAACCGGCCCAAGTATCCTATGAAAGGTTCGACTGGTGCCCGGTCAATGTCCTAGATATTCCCGACCAGCGCCACCCCCTTGCCAGTTTCACGGATAAACAGGTCGTAATTATTTACTTGGCTTGTCGACCCCATCCATGACATGTGATTTGTATGGGTGGTTACTCGGACTCACGTATCCCAATAAATGGTCCTTAACTACTCCACAAGCTACGTCGCTTGAGATCCCACACTCATAATGACCTACCCCTCACATGAGCGAAGTTATCAAGGTGGTATCCAAGTTTTATAACTTTAAGTGCAGTGGATCCTATCCAGATTAGGAAAGTAAATCAAGTTGTACCCTCATTGGTTTTAGTTATTAATTATCCAAGTGTAGCATCCTACATGCGCGAGAATGAGTTCTCTCCTCATGCTCAACTTCTATCATTGCTAAGCAACTAAGCAATAAGCAATTTAGCATTTCTATTCCCATTGTTTTGATGAGAGGCTTCTAATAGCTTAATGAGTGACTATAAGTGTAGAGTGAACAAGATTAATAACCAAAACTACATGTAATGCATAACTCATAATAAAACTTGATAAATATCCAAAATAGGGTTTATAGTAATGGGTGTCTGCCTGGTTTTGCCGCTCGAATGAATTCGAGGTTGTAGACGACATCTCACACACGTTCCTTATGCTACTCGGGTCCTGAAAGAAAATGAGGATCGAGGCTGAAGATAACCGAGGAAGGCATAGGAACAAGACTCGGCTTAGGACTTGGGATTGAGGCTTCTATCTATGGCTCTACCATTGCCCTTTTGAATCTATGCTTAATCTAGTATTGTTGACCTCTTCAGTAAGTTCACTAGACAACTTCATCCTTACTGTTAACTCGACGGACACTCCGACCTAGGTGGCGAACACTCCATTAGGTTAGGGTTTTGAGGTGACTTGGCTCTAGTTCGACTCTACTTGGGTTGACGGACACTCCATCGGTGGTGACGGACACTCCGGTAGGAACTAGGAGGTCTCAGATTGCTGGGTTACTGTCCCCTATAATTCATCAGACGCTCCACCGTGAGTGATGGACGCTCCGGTATAGGCTTGGTGCTCTCGAGTTCACTGCCTATAAGTCTTTATAATTCAACGGACACTCCGTGGGATACCACGGACTCTCCGCTGGCCCATGTCGACAGAAGATAAGGTTTCGGTGGTTGATTTTCTAGAGCTGTCGGACACTCCGTCGATATGACGGACACTCCGTCAAACTGTCGACAAAACCTATGCTCTTGGGTGATCTTGGGTTCCAAACTTAGATGTGCTCAGTTGTGATCTATGCATGTACAAGATATCTCTAGGATAGTTTAGATGGCTCACTAGGCTCAAGATAGCTAGGTTTGAAGCTTGTTTTACTAAGTGTGGCTATAGGTTAAGGATCAAACTTAGGGATACAAGAACATAACGATAAAGCCATGAGATTGGGATGGAATTCTTAGCTCTAAGATTGAGAGCTTCCATAGTCAAAAGGTTGAAGATCCAAGATTTCCTCACTACTACTTCTTCATCCAAGAGATTGGTCACTCATGGGCTTCTTCTTGCATGGCACCAAAAGATGAATCAAAGATTAATCCATGAGATGCTTGAGTACTTGAGCTAGATGAAGATTCCTTTAACTCACTTATATGCGATGGAATCACCATCCACAAGGAATGCTTCCATCCTTCACCAAAAACCACAAATTACTCTTGGGAGGAAAATCCGAGAAATAAAACTTTTCTTCTTGAGCTCACCATGAACAAGGTTGAAGATGTTGATGTTGTCCATGAAGTGGTGTTGGTGCTTCATTCCCTTCTCTTCTTCTCCTTCTCCAATCCCCCTTCCAATCCTTTCTCTCTCTAGTTCTAGGGTTCATCCTTGCTCTTGGGGTGTAGAGAGAGAGGTAGAGTGGCAAATTAATGGGTGGGTGAGAGAGTGGGTGAAAGGGTGCAACTTTTGCTGATGAAGTGTCCCAACTCGTGCTAATATGTAGGTCCCACTCTCATAAGTGGCAAACAACTCATTTCCCACTTACTATAGCTGATTTGAGATCTATCGGACGGTCCGGTAGAGCTGGCGGACTGTTCGGTATATCACCGTCTTTGCCCAATTGATTCTATCATGGGTTGGTTGGGTATTGTAGACTGAGTTGCCATATCTTGAGGTGTTCTCTGAGGTTGAGTTGGTGTTGATGATGTCTATAGGAGATCTCTTAATCCATTCAGGTTTCTCTCCATCGCTTTGAGTATGAGCCTGACCATGGCTATCGGGAGATAACTGCGGGTTCCTTTTTGATAGGTTCTTGATGGTTGGTCCAGCTCAAGGCATCAGGGACCTATTCGAGGGTTGGGATGACTGTTCACTCGGATGGTCAAAATGACTACCTATATTGTAATGAACTCGGATCGTTATAGAAATCCTTCGGCTTGGCCCTGCTGAGGAGTTGTTGTAATCCATGTTCGGCGTTGGGTCCGGGCTGCCGTGCTATAATCCATGGATGGCTTGGGGGCGGCGCTACCATGGGGCGGTGAAGGCAAGCGGACGGCGCTATCGCGGGGCCACTACCATGGAGAAGACAAGCGGGCGGCGTTGTCGTGGTGGGAGGCCCTACAGTGGCGCTCGGCTCCGACGTGGAGAAGACGAAGCGGAGGAGCGCTTGCTCGAGAAGAAGCGCTCGCTCGATCTGTTTCTCCTCCTCCATTTCGTCCATGTGCTCTCACGTGAAAACAAGAAAGAAAGGGCAGGGGCAAAGGTGGAAGAAAATTTTGTTTTTCATTTTTTCTGAGATCCAAAGTCACCGAATGATATTTTAACGGGTTGCACATGTTTCATAGTGGCTATCCAAGGAAGTACCATTGCAGGATGGCAATCCAGCGATGCCCACTTCCCATGCCTTTGTGGGATGGCAATGGAGCGATGCCCGCTTGCCATGATGGAACCCAATACTCTATTTCGCACCAACACAAGGAACCATCGTACAACAGCCGCCGCCACCGCTCTCTTCTAGGCCATCGCACGGTCCCCCCTCCTCTTGGTTAGGTTTGTGGATAGAGCAGCGGGGTCTCGATTCCTTTCCACTTCATAGTTCTTGGTTAGGTTTGTGGATCCTTATTGATCTGGTTTTAGTTTCTGGTGTTATTATCGAGATGGTGACAATGGTGATACTTTGGAATAATGTCACTTCAGCCTCTCCCTACCTCGACAATGTTTGATCTTTGGTTAAGGTTTGGTCTGTGGATCCTTTCTTGATATCTGGACTTTTGTTTCAGTTGGTTGGCTTTTGATGTGACGACTTTGACCTCTTCTTTTAATCTAAGGTCGATCTTCAACACTTTATGGTGAATAATGTGTTTTCACCTCTCTTAAACTTTAGTCGATATCCGACGATGTTTGATTTGGTATTAAGTATTAAATATAGACCGTTAGAAACTTTGCACAAACTTTGCGACTCTATTTACAAGATCTGCTGCCTCATTAGTCCATGATTTGACAATTTAGTGTATGCTTATGTGATAATTAATGATTAATTATGCTTAATATGATGAATTTCGAATTTATTTTTTTATTACCTTAACACTCACGACACCTTTTATCTAAATTTTAGGCATCTTCATCAAAACATCCACGACCATGATGACAACACACACATTGTAAGCCGGTAGGTTCCCCGCTCCTCCCTGGCGCCCCGCGCGACAATCGCTCGGCTGCTTGCTGTCTGCCCTGCCTGTTTGCCTCTGTTCCCACAAACCCATTCACCCCAGTGGCGGCAAAGCCCTAAAATTTGAAAATCAATGGCGAAGAACCCCAAGGCGGCCGACAGCCGCCGTGGCTGTTCTCCCACAAGAAGGCCCCAACCGCGCCGCGCTAAGGCGGCGCCGGCAGCCTCCTCCGCTCCTGACATCGAAGACCTGGCTCCCGCAGTGCCTGCAGCCGCACCCGCCGCGCTGCGCGCGCAGCTGCTCCGGTGGTATGACGCGCACCGTCGGGACCTGCCGTGGCGATGCGCAAGCGGCGGCGAGGAAGAGAGGGCGTACGCGGTGTGGGTGTCGGAGGTGATGCTGCAGCAGACGCGGGTGCCCGTGGTCGTCGGTTACTACGAGCGGTGGATGGCGCGGTGGCCCACCGTGCGAAGCCTCGCCGCCGCTACGCAGGAGGTGAGCAATAGTTCATAAATCAATTGGGCAAGAGAAGCAAAAAAAATTTTCTTTTTGTGGGGAAGATTCGATCTTTTGACGTCGAAATTTTGTGGGGTTAAATTAAATGATAATGGAGTTCTTGATTCGTGGCTTGATGCTTTCCGCAGGAGGTGAACGAGATGTGGGCGGGTCTTGGCTACTACCGTAGGGCTCGATTTCTGCTGGAGGTGAGTTGTGCTCGCAATGGATTGATGGCGGATGACTGGGGGCGTCTCTATTGGATGGTTGATGCTTGCTTGGCAACCTTTGCTGCTGCGCACGTTCCCTGTTTGATGTTTTGCCTCAGAGAGCCTGGAAGATTATTTCAGAGTTCCATTTTCCTTGAAATGAAGGAAAGGAAATCTGATTAGTAGTTCATCATTCACTTTGCATTTGAACTGATTTTGAGATGTCAAGATATTGAAATTTTGTGTTGTGCAGTTTGTCAGGAATTTGGCCTTTTATGTGGCCTTCCTCTCTTGTTCTTTGGTTTCCAGCTTATACGAGTTACCTTAATTTTAACAGTTTTGTGGTCTTTATATAACACTATAAACCAGAATGAAGGATTTCTATCTGTGGTTTATGGTCGATCTTCTTTATGATGGAGAAACAGGGAGCAAAGCAGATCATTGAAAAGGGGGTGTTTCCTCGCACGGCGTCAGCCCTCCGTGAGGTTCGTGGTATTGGGGATTACACAGCTGGAGCAATTGCTTCAATTGCCTTCAACAAGGTTGTTCACAGTTTAGCAACTCGTCAAATTAGCTTGTGCATTTTCTTTTCCTTTTTCAAACGATTTTGTGACTTTTTATTATAGGTTGTCCCAGTTGTGGATGGAAATGTTGTACGAGTGATCAGCAGGCTTTATGCCATTGCTGACAACCCAAAGGAATCCTCAACAGTGAAGAGATTCTGGTAGGCAGCACTATCCTTCTTCTTGTTTGACAGCTTACAGAGGTGTTTGGTTGATCCATCATCATCTCACTCGTTACTGATTTGTGGAATGGAATGGGCTAATCCACCACCACCTCATCCCTCACAAACTATTATAATTACTATAAGCATGAGGGATGAAGTCCGGAATTCATGGGCTGAACTCACGATCGGCCACTTCATCTAGAATGTGGTGGTTCCTCAAACCAAACACCTCACAATTCATCTTGTTAGTTGATTGTTCATTGTAGTGTTTATTACAATGTTGGATTTTTCTAGTAAAATGACACCACGTACTGTAGTTTGTCCTACATTTTCTTTTGTGCACTACAATAGACCTGAATAATACTGTACAGTGTGCTGTATCATCAGTTGAAATAAAAATGCACATATTTGATCTAATTTAAAATCTTGATTTGCATTTTCAAACCCCTCCTAACCTCAGTACAGGATTTATCCATAGTTGGACAGACATTGATTGATACTGATTCATCTGTAATCACATTGTCTTGCTGTAAATCCAATTCTGAATTGGGAATCTTTACACCAATCTCAGAATCTGCACAATGTACATTTTTCATCATAGGGAGCTTGCAGATCAGATGGTTGATCCTCTGAGACCAGGAGACTTCAACCAAGCAATGATGGAATTAGGAGCAACATTATGTAGCAAGACAAAGCCTGGTTGCTCTGAATGCCCAATCTCTAGCCACTGCCAAGCACTTGCACTTTCCCATGAAAATTCATCAGTCCAAGTTATGGACTTCCCACGAGTGGTTCCAAAGGCCAAACCTCGGAGAGATTTCGCTGCTGTTTGTGTCGTTCAGATTGCACAAGGCTTGGAGGAAGAGGCACCAGATGCAAAGGACAATGACAATCTCTTTCTGCTGATCAAGAGACCAGAGGAGGGCCTGCTTGCGGGGCTCTGGGAGTTCCCATTGATCCTTGTGGATGAAGGGAAGACCGATTTTCAGAACAGGAGGAAAGCAATGGACAAGTATTTGTCGAAGTTGCTTAGCATCGACGTGGGACAGAGATCTGATGTGATCTTCCGGGAGGATGTTGGTGAGCATGTCCACATTTTCTCCCACATTCGCCTGACAATGCATGTGGAGCTGATGATTATTAATCTCAAAGGTAGAGTTTGTTGGTTTTAATCACCAGAAAAAAAAACAATATGTTATCTTTGTGTTACTGTGAATCTTGCTTGCTAACTAACTACAATGTAGATGGTGTGGATCGACTATGCAAAAAGGGAGCTGATAGCACAAAGTTGAAACTTGTCAACGAATCCTCCATGGAGTCCATGGGATTAACATCTGGTATTCGGAAGGTAACTCCAACTGAAGCATTTATACAATATGAAATTGCATTAAACTCAATCAAGACTAATATGTGAGCTTCAATACAGGTGTACAACATGGTCAGGGCTTTCAAGGAGAAAAGGCTCGCTGTATCTGAGAAAGGTCATGTACCCACGAGGAAAAGGACTAGACGGTTAAAGCAGTAACCTAAGCAATTAGGGAGTAAGAGACAAGGACTAGTAGACGTTAAAGCACTAACAGCAATTAGGGACTAGAGATGGGCTAGTGCAGCTTGTGAAGTGATTTCTATTTTGCTGCATGTATCTGGTGTGCTGAACTCCAAAACTGCTTCTTGTTGTAAAGCTCGCTTGAAGAAAGGCTGGTGCTCAGTACTCTAGTTTATCACTTTATTGTGCAATTCTCCTGCATTTCCAGCCGTGAAGTGATGCATTGTGCTTTATGTACGCTTTGGTTTGTTCCATTTGGGGCCTTCTGCTTTGCACAGATTATCTTGATCATTTTGACTGCAGATAGCGAGCTTAACATTATCATCTGGATGCACAGAAGCGACAAGCTGGTAATCAGCCAACAATTGCATTCAACTAGCGATGATATTGTTTGTCCAATAACATGTTGGTACAACTGGTGAAACAACACAAACCAACCCGACAGATTTCAATTCAATAGTTCGTTCGGTGACAACAGTCACATCTACTGCAGGTTTGCTCGAAACAGTAACAAGTACAGCATTCATATTAAAATCCAAATTGTTGAGTCTTTCTATCAACCAAAGCAGATCATTCCTGGAACGGAGTGAGATCGATCTTGAATGGCTTCTTTCCCTTGGTAACTCGCTTCATATGACGGGAGAAAAAGGTGGAAAAAAACGAAAGGTAAATTTACTGAGATTTGGCTTGAATATACTGAATGAAGGATGTTAAACTTACAGAGATTGCAATCAATTCCTCCAATAGCTCTTCCAAATTGCGCAATGGCTAAGAAAGACAGGAGTGCAAACAAATAGTATGAGGGTTATATGATAAACATCATCAATGCTATATAAGTTGGAAAAGATTGCATAAATGAACTGGAGTATACCCATTGAGTTGGGCCATCACATGGTGCATTCAAGGGATCATCATGTACCTGTGGGATTATGCAATAAAATAGATTTAATTTTGATAATTTCGTTCAATGAGCATAATAGCAGATTATGTTAAAAGAAACAACAGAGCATCCTCATTTCTTTATTTTCACATCTCTTTACCTCCATGAAAATACCATCAACACCAACAGCAACAGAAGTCCTTGCAATGCATGGTATTAGTTCTCGTAGCCCCCCGCTTGCAACACCTCCACCATCAAGCTTACAAAATAGAACACAGCAATCCCCAATTTAACTAAAACAAACACCAGCAAAAACAACGAATTCAATATAAGGTAGTTATGAAGTTGTGATAAAAGTTAAAACAACTAATGTTTTGCTGGCTGTTTTTTTATAGTAGGTAAAAGTTCAACATAATAGTGAGACTGTTAAACTTAAAAATAGATCCGAAGGCCCAAATTTTGGACATTACAGATTCTTGTGATTGTGGTTATTACATATAGAGATGAGACCATGACTGGAACAGCATAGCACCTAAAATGTTGCATGCAAGTTTACATCAGGTTAGCAATTGGTAAATGCACATCACAATTGATGAAGATACCTTTCTTCCAGCCGGTTGCTGTAGAGCATGTGTTACATCCGCTACCTGAAATGCATATCACTGGTCTGTAATCTACAACATAGTTGTTGCTAGCTACCACATAGTGCGATCAAGAAAGGTGTATAAAAAAGGAAAACGGGAAGCATGAAAATGACAAACCACGAATGAGTTGTGGATATTAATAAAATGGAACTTTTCCCAAAGCATCAGACAGAAATACAACCACTTTTGGTGAAATGTAGAAAGGCTTGATCTTAAATTATTTTCGTCCAATATTGGTTAGATGCTATTCCAGTACTAACATTCCTTGTTAACATCTGTGTCATTTGGTTGGAAAATCAATGTTTATCTTAATCAATTGAAATTTAAAATAAACAAAGCACAGCAGTCATCTGCGTCATCTTAATCAACGTAAATTCATTTTTGACAACAGGAGAGCCAGACCACCTTTTCATGTCAAAACAACTGCACCAGATCAGGAGAAGAGAAAAGGCTCAATGCTAACACAATTAAATTGACACAAAGGAGTCATCATTCCCATTATAACGATCAGGTTGCATCTATGTAAGATTTAAATATTAACTTGATTCTTTTCAATAATTGATCCATGATTTGAGACTTTTGCAATGCCAGAAATATTGATAAACTAGATGGAAGTGTTCAATCAGGAACAAGTTAGATGGATCTAAACAGGAGGTGGATTATGCAGTTAGGGATGAGAATGAGGTTTCGATACTTACAACTGGGCAGTTTGCTTCCCTCAGCCACTCAAAGTTCCTTGGGTCAACAATTAGATCGTCTTTGTGTTAGTTGAAACAAATGTCAGTCTTTGTGTACCAATGCAGAAATAACTAATAACGAAGAAAGTGATAATATGAGTTGTGCAATAAGAGACAGTTAGTGCACTGCTGTGGAACTTCTAGATGCTTCTTCTTGAGCTGCAGCTTGATTTCCAACCACAACTCCAGAAGTGACGGTATCAATTACTTTGTTGCATGCCAAATGATCTGAAGGCAACCCTAATCTAGCTCTCACGACTTCAACTGGTGAATTCATAAAACGATTATACAGTGTCATCACATATTTCAAGAAGCATTCGTCCCACTAAGGCTATTTGGTTCATAGTCATTCTACAACCCTACAACATGTTACCTACTCTCCTTAGTGGCAATGTCCTAGAACAGCATCAATGATTAATTGTTCTCTCTTTTTCATGTTTATTACATGGGCAATAAACAGAAAAGAAAGAGCCAAAAGATGCCTTAACTGTAGCCAAACATGGTACCACGCTCACAGACCATCACATTTGGGTTTCCAGCAAGCCTTACTTTCTCTGCAGAGTTCACCATAACCTGGAGGTGTAAAAGTAAAACAAGTAAATCTGGTAAAATAATTAGCTTCAAGCCTTAACCAGGAGGTAATTCTATAAGAACATCCTCAAAATTGTGTATCTTGTCAAAAAATAGTTATAGTAATATGAAGACGGCATATGTCTGGATAATTGTCTTTCCATAAAAAATATCAGACAAATATATGCTTAAATGGGAAAGGTCATATGAAGAAACATGCACTATAACTCAACAAGAAGATTAATGGATTATCATAGATCAGATAGGTACAAACTGATATCATTTTTGTTAAATTTAAAAAACTCGACGGGATGGAGCAGACCACATCCCTGTTTTTTAATTAAGAGGATGCAGGGCTTGAACCTGGGTCTCTGGATTTTTGTTAAATTTCATGTTGTCAGCTGAAGTAATGCGAAAATTCTATCAACTTAAGCCAAGTTACTTCAGAAATTTCATTAGACTCAATTAAATGAAAATTTGCAGGTAAGAGCAAATAGTTCCGCATTCTTTCAACACTGCACCTCATTCATAATAATCAAGTAAGAAACTTCGCCAGATTACTATGAAAAGTAGGACTAAGTACACTATGGAATGTTTGTTACTTTGTGCAACATTTAATAGCACATAACCTTTTTAAGGTAATGATTTAAATACTAAATTAGCAAGTAGCTAAAATTTCGTGTATTCAAATTTCAATTATACTACCAGCTAGTAAAATGCAACTTACAGAAGGCGCACAGAATTGTCCTTTCTTGATGTTGATAATTTTTCCAGTCTTAGCAGCAGACACTAGAAGATCAGTCTGTTATCATAGTAATATGTTTGCATTAGAGATGCAGAACATGGTATAAATATGCAGAATCATGCTTAAATATATGAAAAAACTGTTGTTTGCCACAGAAAATCCTTTCATTCAAAATTGTACCTGGCGACAGAGGAAGGCTGGAATCTGTATAATGTCAGCAACTCGTCCAACAGCTTCACACTGATTTCATGAAATAATTAGGAATCATCTATCTCTTTAGAGCAAATAATATGCAGTAGGAGATTGTGACTTGATAAAGGGCAATGCAGGTAATGCGCAGTTAGCAATAAGATGGGTTGTTTGATTATGATAGAGTGGGTAATGGTGTTATTGAGTTCCACATATGCTCAGAAAAGTAACAGCTCACCTCTCAAACTAAGGATGAAATTATGAAAAGCAAATCCAGGTATGAGTACAAATCCAGGATTTGAAATGAAACCAAACCATTCAATACCTTCAATTGTGTAGAAAACTAGAGATGCATCTTAAAAAATGGAAAAGAAAAGTGCATGGGGTCAAAAGTTTCTTTCTGACAATTATATATGACTACAGAAACATAACATGACTAGTGGTACCTAGTATGAAACAGAGAATCATTTGGCAGTTTCCTTATGAGCTTGGAATGGGAAAAAAAAACTCAGACATGTCTCACTGTTACTGGAATGCAAGAACAAGTAGCACAAAAGAACAAATTTGTTCACAAAATTACTTAAGAACAAGAAACATGTCTTACAGTACAAAATGTACAAAGGAAACATGATCTGGTGAAGAATCAAGCCAAATCAAGCATTAACATAGCAGAATTGTTTGATGGGTTACCTGGTGGCTTTCGTGCACATCAGTGACTACTGGAAGGTCATATGTTGCTTTCACCTTTTCAAGGATCTGACCAAAATTGGAAATTGAAAAACAATATGATATAAACACACTATCACACATGAAAAGCTGTGTCAACAATTAGGTACATATACACATCACACAGGCCATTAGTACTTGAACAAATCCCAAGATACGGCAAATTTTTAATGTTTCTCCTGGAATCTCAACCTAGGCCATTAGGCCAAAATAACAATATACCACTAGGTATTTGAACAGGTAATTCTAATTGTCCAGCCACTTCCCATAATTCAGGTAATCACTGATGACAAAAGTATGGCCAATTTGATTATCATATGAATTGCAGAGAACTAAACTAGTGTCACATAAGAGAAACAGTGGCTTGACATGAATTTGCACATTGTACTGAAGACCAATGTAATCAAAAGTCAAAACTAGGAAATGCCTAGTCTGAAGGATAAAACATGCCTCACCTTTAGGCCTTCTTCAAGACCAGGACCACGGAACGATTTTGATGATGTACGATTTGCTTTATCAAAGCTGGACTTGAACACAAGTGGAATTCCAAGCCTGTTATGGAGAACGAAAGGCAACAGGGTAGGTTTAATTTAGCCCCGGTTTTTTTATTAGAGAAAAAAGACTGATCCAAACTTCGTGCTCACTTGGTTGTGATTCCTTTAATGTGTTTGGCCATCTTCAGGACGTGCTCCTCCGATTCAATCACGTTGGGACCGGCCAGCAAGAAGAACGGTTTGGCAGCCTGTTGCAAGACTGAGATTGATAAAAAGAATACACAGTACATAACACATGATCACACTAGCTGTCGTCTATATCATTCATGTGAGGGCAAACGAAGAAACTACCACAGCAGACACGACACTCTCACGGTCGACATTCCTTTTAACTAGAAAAATACACTGCTTGGAATTCCACTGTACATGCTCAAATTCTCAGATCCACTCGAACAAGGTAATAAGATTTGCTACCACATCGCAGCAGAATAAAAAAGGGCAAGAATTTAAACCCCGAACAGCCCGCAGGATGATCGATGAAATGCCGCAGCCAAGATGACGGTGAGAATTACAAAAGCAACTCGCGGTGCGCACCTTGAGGGAGTCGAACAGCGCCACGGGTGGAGCCTCCATTGTCACGTTTCTTCCTCCCTGCGGGTGCGGCGGCACAACCAGAACATCAAGGCCCGTCCGTCCCAGTCCTAGAACCCCAAGAACACGAGAAAGAAATGCAGCAGAATCACGGGAGGGCCGGGTGAAGAGCACGAACCCGAGAGAAGACAGATCGAGGGATCGAGATGCGAGTGCCGGACCGCGCACCGGAGCGGAGCGGCACAGCAACGGAGAGGAGACAGGAGAGTGGAGCCTGACTGCCTGAGCGGAGGATGACAGCGACGGGAGAACCAGAGGAAAATATAGGCTGGCTGATTAAGCTGAGCTCTAATGGGCTGTATGGACACAGGCCGAAAATGCTGTGGGCCGGACGGTCGCAGGCTCAGCCCAGCACACACGAGCGCCGCCCAGGCCCGCACGGGCACGGCACACCCCACACTCGTCGTGCAGCTCTTGTCCATCCAAACCCTTTCGCCGGCGATGGCGCAGATCCTCCCCGGGCCCGGAGCCCAGGCGCCGCCGCCGCTCCCCGACCACCTTGTCGAGGAGATCCTCGTCCGGGTCGCCTCCCCCGCGGACCTTGCCCGCGCCGCAGCAGCGTGCGCCTCCTTCCGCCGCCTCGTCGCCGCCGCCTCATTCCTCCGCCGCTACCGCTCCCTCCACCCGCCGCTCCTCCTCGGCGTCCTCACGGCCCGAAGATTCCTGCCCGCCGAAGCTCGCCACCCCAACGCGCTCAGCGCGCACGCCCTCGTCCGCGCCGCCGACTTCTCCCAGTGCCAAGGAACCGGCTGGATTCACTGCGACGCCCGCGACGGCCGGGTTCTCCTGATGCGCTCTGAGCATGCGAGCGGCCATATCATCCTCCCGGAACTCGCCGTGTGCGACCTCTTGACGCGGGGGTGCACGCCGCAGCCGACCATACCAGAGAGCCTAGTATCCTCCGTCCTTGGTCCGGCACGGGACGAGCACATTGGAAATTTCATCGCTTTCTTTGTCCCTGCAGCAGACTACGAGGAGACACAGTTCAGGGTGGTTGCCTGGGGGTACTGTGAAGCACTGGCTGTGGCATTTGCCTACTCTTCGCTTTCTGGCACCTAGTCTGATGGTATTTCTATCGGTTCGGATGCGCCAGGCTTCCACGTTCACAAACAATTCACGACACCCGTGGATCTGTGCCCCAGTTATGCGTATGGTTGCTTCTACTGGAAACTTCAGTTTTGCAACAAGTTGCTCAAGCTCAACGTTAACAGGATGGAATTCTCGGTTGTTGGCCTCCCACCTTGCCATGAAAATCGGTGTGTTGTTGTTGTGGAGGCTGGTGAAGGAAGGATTGGGATAATTACTCGCGCCAGTCCAGAATTTCCTGAGCTTCTGCACTCCATTTGGCAAAATGATGCTTAGAATGACAATGAGCGCACACCGGAGACTGCAATCCTGAGTTTTGGGTGCAGCAGAAGGACATATTATCCTATTATGCTTTGAGAAAGTCTCTTGTCCTACAAGGTTAGTGTTTTTCTCACTTAATATCAAGACATTGGAGATTGTGAGGGTCTGTTTGACACCCATTGAAAGTGGCGACTTTTGTAACACTCCGTTTCTGTACTTCGGGTACCCAGCGTTCTTGTCACCGAGAAGGATATGAAGCTGTAAGTCTTTTATCATAATTTTGACTGCCCTTTTGCATTCTTCTTTGAGGCACTGTCACTTACATCACATAGGAGTATGATTATTTTTGTCGTGTTCTTGTTTTGCCTATACAAACTGTCATGTGTACCATGGATTGCAGTTGCGTCAAAATCTTCTCTAGATCCTTTTGGTCACCATGTAGTGTGTGTGCTATTTGCCTCCTGCCAAGCTATAGACTATTAGGTTATTCTTGTTTGTATGTGGTTTGATGTATTTTGCTATCATGGAAACAAGCCGGTCCATATGTGTGTGTGTGTGTGTGTTTTCAACAATGAGTGCCACATCAATGGAACCTTGTACTATCATGCGTGTCTTGAAAGATGGAACATACTTCTATTCTTAATAAATTGAAAAATATGATTTCTCCACAAGCTATTGGACTTGGGCAAGAAGCATAAATTAAACTTCTCATTTACCCTTCTTGGTTCTTTCACAACTGTAATGGCATTTGTTGTTAAGTTCACACTTTGTCTAAATACTCTGGCTTCTGAAAAACCGCGTGCAAACAAACAGATAATGTTGTTATGATTCAGTGGTTTCCCTTCATTGTATCATGTTACTAGCATCTCTTGTTTCATTGTTTTCATAGGTACCTCTGTAGCAGTTGACTTGTAGAAGAATTGTGAAGTTCGTCTATATCCTTGTAATCTGGTTGAAGTAGTGATTAGTCTCTTCGCTGACTATCTTTCCAAGCTTAGTTTCCTAAACATTGACTATAGCATCATTATGACTTTATGAAACTTTTTGCATGTGTGGAAAATCACATTTTGGCTTGCCTGCTTGCGTTATAGTGGCTCATTCAGTGTATTGTGATCTGTAAGAGCATGGGAACCGAGTTTTAGTGATGTTTTCTTCAACATTTTATTTTTTAAATTAACAAACATCATTTTGAGCTTACAGAAATATGGCTTGTTGTATGTAACTGGCTCAGCTTAAGCTTGGCAAAGAGGCTCTTGGTAGTTTTAATGGGCTTATGGTATTGTTTTCATGCATGTCCTTGGACTCGTACTTATTTTCACTCCAGTTATTGTCAATGGTTTACTAATGTGTGTTCTGTCAATCTTGTCTTGTGAAAGACCACTCCATCCATAGCCGCTAAACTGGAAATTACTTGTAAAGGCCAATAGGCAGTAAATGCTGCACTTATTAACGATGATTGTTTTGCTTCGAGTGCTACCTCACACACACACACACACACACACCCCAACCCCAAATGCCATTACTAGTGCTCTCAACGTTTACACTTCTGCCATTTGCATTAATTTCAGAATTAAGTCTGAGCCTGATAATGATTTTTTAAAAAAAGGCACAAACACTCATCACGTTTAATCTGTGTTTGGCGCCTTTTGGAACTTAGTTTTTCAGGGAACATTCCTCATATTACACATTTATTTCTCTTGTGTTGTCGTAGATATTTGGGGTTGTAACTAAGGTAGCTTATGTTGAAAAGAAGAGCATTATTTCATTCCTTTTTTGACATCATATAGTTGCATCGTTTTTTATCTTATAAGTTATAACTCAAGGACCAAAGAATGGTGCATGACTGCGTATTGTTAGGGTTGGCTGCAAGTAAATTTGTTGTCATTTTCTTTCTTATTCTCCAATCTTTCATGCAAATTAATGATTTCAATGTATGGAGTCTGCTCCAAGTCAGTGAAAAAAGTATTTTGATGCTCCTTCCATTTTGATACTCTTTGGCAATGATGCTGAACTTATGCACTTCAGATTTACTCACCTAAGTCCTCTTAAAAAACATTTACACACCTAGATTATCAAAACTGTGGGAACTGGGAAGTAATGGTTCCATTGCATCTGCAATGTTTTTTTTGCCCCTTGCAGGACTAAAATTACAATCAAGGTGGTGCCTTCTTCAGTGTCATGGTGATGTAGAGATAGGAGATGATGGTGAAGGTTATGATGGCAATGGCGATGCTGCTTGTGTTCTACTAGGTTCTTTCGGCAGTCGTTCATCTTTTTATATCCTCTGCAACTCTCGTTATCATTGGGTCTGGTCTAGTTATAAAACTTAGTTGGTCTATGCGTTCAAGACTTCAAGTACTAATGTAGTTGGAACACTTGGTACTTAACTCCATATATCGAGTATCAGATTTGTCTGGTTGTTTTGGAGAACTAGGACAACGTGATAATGACAATAGAAGGCAGATCTATGTCGCACTGAATGGCTATGTATGCTATTTCGGTAGCTGATTGAATTGTCGAAGATATCTGTGGCAATCAGATGCACATCAGTGTTGTAAGAAGGGTGTATCGCACCGATTCACCAAACACAAGCTAGTACAATGGTATTAAAAATTCATGAGTTCAGGATCATATTAGACAGGCAGCCGTAACAAATGTGACTTGAAACTGCTGCTTTTTCAGTGCTCCAGTTTCATAACATGACGATGGGAACTTTGGATCAGTCTCATACGCCGCAGGCAAATGGTGAACAGAGTTTCATCCTGATTCCAGCTTTTTTGCTTGCATCAGATTTATGCTTCTGCATCGAACGATCGAAGAGAACATGAGAGAATGTAAGCAAAGTGATACTCTGTTAATCTTACAGCCCATAATGCTATTGTGATTCGAATGCTTTTTTTTTTTCAATTTGGGACCAGCCAATATTATTCATTACGTCAGGATTGTGCACGGTTTTCTAACCTTGGATACTATGTCCAAACTCATTGACACGTTAGCGAAAAATTATAGTACGTGGCATCTAATTAATATGCATGTTAGTACTATCTACCAGGACTAGCCTTATATAAACATAAATGCTCACAATGCCTCTGCTTATTATTCCAACTCAATAACTACCATTTTTCATACACTCAAAATATTGGTTTGAATAGGAAATATAATGTTATCATCACAAAACCTTTTTTTTTATCGCTGAACATGAAAATACACATTTATTGCAGTAGGAATGGGTGATCATTAATATATATAGACCTCTAACAGTGACTTAGCTCATAGCGTATTATTTCATATTGTAATGCAAGAGAGAAAAACTAGCTTCCGATGACTTGGCTCATAACATACTATTTCATATTTTGTATACATTTCAAAAAATTTGATTGTGTCATGTGGGCTATCTATATGTAAGCTATGTACTAAAAGACAACACTGTTGGAGAAGTTGTTTTAGAGTTGGTAACTACGGGTGTGCCCTAATATATATCCCCATTAAATTCTTATATAAGGGCACTCCTAATGCAGAAACCACCATAATTTCTATAGACATTAATTGTACTGTTACCTAAATGTTTTACTGATATGGCAAGGTAGTTATTGGATAAAAAAATATTCTGTAAAAATTATTTATTGGGACCATAGTTTCTATACGTAGAACTTGTTTGAAGAGATATTGGTAAAAGAATTGAGAGAGAATCTCTGTGATCACATCAAAATCTTTGGACACATGTATTGGGAGTATTTCTAATGTAGATAAAAAATAACTAATTACATATAGTTTGATTGTAAATTACTGACTTTTTTAGATTTTTTCTATTATTTTTGTATCTAGGATTAGAACCATATACTTGAATAATAATTGTCAAATTATGGCAAAAAAAAGTTTGATTCAGAGGGAGAAATAAGCTCATTTAGAACAAAATTTAAACATTTGCCGTACTATCTATAGAAATTAATAGGTTCCCCAAATAGTTGGTAGCATTGAAACTGCCATAACATCTGGAGCAGCACGCTGACGTCTTTGTATTGATATGACTGTACGGTTTTGACCTCCATCTAGATACAGGCAATCTAGCAGGCTGGCCTTTAGATACAGGGAATCTAGCAAGCCGTTGACGACCTTAATTTACTATACAAGCACAGGTCATTGAAGCAATACCACACGTACGGTATCACGGACACCGAGCATATACAGATCATGGTTACGAAGGTCAACGACTAAAATAGGATACAAATTCTCGCATGTAATGACAAAGCTTGCATATGAAATTTTGTTCAGGGTGGGTTGGGTGCATAGGTTGTCCCCCCACACGGCTAGCTTGTAGCTTCAACGTCAAGCATACTCATCACATATGTGATATGTCAAATGATTGGTAGTAGAGCAAAAAGAATGGGGTGGATGCTAGGAACGACCTTTGCTTCTGCTGGAAGAACAATACATAAGGTGTTCAATAAAGCGTCCATGCATTCAATAATCAGGAATCAGCTCAAAACTCAAGATGTAGAAGCGCAAACCATATAATCATAAATACCATATTAAAGTATCTTAAGTTTGACTAATTATAAATATGTTTTGCTCCTAAACGATCTCAAAAGAAAATATTTTTAACTAAAAAGTTTTTGTCTTGTCAAGCACAATAACTTTGGTATATGGTCTATCTCCATTCGTGGTTGTTTGAAAATATTAAAAATTTTGAATTTCAAAATATAGAAACTTAA